ATATATATATATATATATATATATATATATATATATATATATATATATATATATATATATATGATTTGAAATGGACAAAGTTCGACAATTATTTTAAGACATTTTTATGTTTATACATTCTTTTTTAATGATACAAATATTTAAGTAAATGCTCTCTTTATAATAAACAGTATTAATAACATTTACCAGCCTGAATGTCCGAGAAATTTTCCTAGAAAATATTCGTCCTCCGATAGGAATCGAACCTGTATCATATATATTATAAACATAAAAATGTCTTAATATATGATAATATATTGAAGTTATACATAGTTTTCGAAGTGTATATAAGATAAGTTTTGGAGTAAAAGTTAGTAAAGGCGAAAATAATTTTGATACATTCTAGTAATAATAATAATACTAGAGAAATAATAATAATAATAATAATAATAACTAGTAATAATTGTGTAAATTTCACGTTTTTCCTATATTAATTTTCTAATGAATTCTTAAGTTAATGATCGAATAAGATCCTTGCGAGTTTTATGACTACAAAATACGCGCGAAAATTCCTCATCAGCATATTTGAGCTTAACAATCTCAACCAAATATTGCAATAACAATCATAAGAAATGATGCAGGTCATTATTTGAAGAAGTAAGAGGGTACAAATGAAAAGATTTGAAACTGACAAATTTTAACATTTCACTGAAGCAGACGTTAAAGACATAGGATTGTTATCGTTTCCTCTATCGTCATTTTCTTTCTTTTTTTTCTCACTAAAACCAAACATCGTCACTAGTATGCCTTATTTGTCTTTCCTCTACGTCAAAATGGAATCGTTTATTATTTATGTACTCACTAATTAACGAACTAAAGTACAAACGGAATTATAATTTGATATTAAGGATATTGTAAGGTTATCTTGTCTGCATTTTATTTTAGCGTATTTGCCATTTACAAATCACTTTGGTTGGTCTATGGATATATTTTAAAATGTTCTACGAACTGTTACACTATTTGATGCATTTTTATCAATAAAATTTACAGTAGATAGATAGATAGATAGATATGAGTAGACTGGCGTACATAGATAGAGAGATAGATATGAGTAGATTGACGTAGATGGATAGATAGATTTGAATAGACTTCAATAGATAGATTTGAATAGACTTAAGCAGATAGATAGATAGATAGATAGATAGATAGATAGATAGATAGATAGACAGATAGATAGATAATAAAAAAAAGGTGATGGAGAATATAAAACAGGGGGAAAGAAAGATTTGGTTATTTTTGTTCAGTGACATCTCAACTCTATGGGGTGATTTAATACCGAGATCTAAATATTTTGACGCTGTTTTAAGCCCTCAACTACAGATATTATGTACATAATACTATATCTCAGGGTAAACGTATGATTCATATATATATATATATATATATATATATATATATATATATGATATAAAAGGCTCAAACACTAATATTCCATGGTTATAATTTATTACATTGGAATCTGTTAGGACTATTCCATACGTAATAAATACTGCGCCTCAAGAGGAAGCAGAGAGTTCAGTCTGAAGTCGGACGATCGGCTGACCGGCTGATCGGTTGAACTCTCTGCCTTCGGGCGGGGAGGAACCCGAACGAGGCTACGCCGAAGGGCGGGGTCTCTTTCGGGGAGGTAAACCGACCCTGAACCCGTCTAAATACAGTTCAGTCTGAAGTCTGGAGTGAAGTCCGTCAGAAGTCTGTCAGTCAGTCAGAGCGAGCGAGTCAGTCAGTCGAGTCAGAAGCAGACCGAAACAGAGTCGCTTTCAGACAATTACTACTAAACCTGATTGTTCGTACTAACACTTTCTACTTCTCTGTATATATTCCTGTTTGTAATATATCTGTGTTATTCCATATCCGCCTTCGAGTTCTTCTTTATTGGTTCTACCTTGGACTATCACCGTGGTATAAGGAACCGGACCATAACAGAATCGTAACCACAATCCAAATCATCAGACCTACAAATTCAAAAAGAAATTGTAAAATATAACTCCGGGCATAAAAAACAAAATTTTAGTGAGTGTGTATGTGTGGGAGTGGGAAACAAGTGTGAGAGGGAAATGTATGAAAGCTCTAGAGAGAGGGTGTAACAGAAGAAAGAACAGGAAAGGAATAAAGGTGAAGGTGGGGATTAACAGAGAGAAGTTTTAAAGAGAGGTGTTAAATAACGCCTTAAAAGAGTGAGATACAGATAAATATAAATTATTTTCAGATGCATCAATCGCTACCGAGTCGCTGACCTAAAATTAAAAAAAACAACAGACACCGAAACGTGTGAATACATTTGTGGTGACAATAAAAAAATGATAAGATCTAAACTTACTAATCTTATGTATACAAGAAAAGATGAGAGCCGAAAAAAATGGGGGGGGGTGCAAACTTTTTGAATTTGTAGGTCTGATGAATTGGATCGTGATTACGATTCCAATGTAATAAATTATAACCATGGAAGAATCAGCAATATTATTGGTCCTCCCCTGGCGTCTCGGCTTTAGTAACTTTCCACTCATCTTAATTTAGATTCCTTCTGACATTACTATCATCGTAATTGTTCAAATGAACTCTTCGCTGTGATACCTAGAGTTTATAAATTTAAACGCATTACTAGATTGGCGGCAAGGTCTCATCAATTTACAATTGAATTGGTTAGATGTTACCGTAAGTTCTATTCTGACAGTTTCTTCTTTCGCATTTCCCGCTTGTGGAACTCGCTTTCGCTTTCTTGCTTACCAGTCAACTTTGATCTTCAAAAATTTAAAAGCAATGTCAGTCATTTGTCTTCTTAATTCTTGTTTTTTTTCTTGTTCTTCCTCCTTAATAATTTTTTTCATTTTCTCTTACATTCAGTAACCTCTTGTGTCTTAGTAGCTTTATTGCCTTGCTTGGAGCGAAATGATTTTAAATGTAAATATTGTCGCATCATAATCTTATAAGCTGTTACTATTGCATTTTCTTTGTCAAAAAATAAGGAAAATGATTCTATGAGAAGTTCAGCCACGCCTGAAATTTGTCTAAGACTAAAAAGCAGATATCTGGCCATTGGTTTTAGTTTCTCCAGTAATTTAATGGGGGTCTGCTTCGAAAGTTTATAACGGCAAAATAAATAAATAAATAAATAAAAGTAAAAAAAAACTTTGTGGTAGACAAGTTTCAAACAGACATACATACAAACACTTCGTGAAATCAAGCGCTACTCATTTTTTTTTTCACAGAAATTGAACTCCTTTTGCTAAATGTTACCCTTTCTAGTTGCTGTAGCGTAAAAAAGTTGCGGAAGGGAAAATCAACATTGATAAGAGAACGAAAGAATTGATAGGGGTCTGATTCTGATAAGGCTAATAAATACTACAGAAGATACATTCGAAAATGGCTCTTAAAAATCATCGAAATCTACAAACGATTGTGGTTGGTTGATTGTGTTTGGCGGCATATCAACACCTCTCCGAGGAGGTACGATGGAGTAATGGATAGCGGCTTGGATTGAAGAGCCGAGTTCGAATTCCACTCGAATCCTTTATATTCACTTACGTGAAAAACCTTGAGAAAGGTATGAATCCTCCTTTTCTCCCTTCCCCAAGCTAAGGGTAAATAGCAAGACAGACCCGGTTCTATAGCCTTGGATGGCAACTGGTCTACAGCAGAAAGAAATGGCAATCTACTGCGGGGAAAAAAATCTTACTCGTCAGTCATGTATCGAAAGATACATGGTCACCTAAGCGTGTATCATGCGTGGCACATAACTGACTGTCTGATGGCTTATTTAATGCTGAAATCTAAATATTTTGAAGGCAATGCTTCAGCTAAATATATTTTGAACGCAATGCTATGACTTCGACTACAGCTAAAATGTATTGGTCATTTTGCTATAGAATGCACTGCTGGTAATTTTACTGTAAATTATTGGTACAGTGTAACCCGGATATAAGAGAGTTGTCGGGACCGGAGAAGAAGTCTCTTATATCCGGGTTTCTCTTATATCCGGGTTTGGTCGATTTTATATACATTAACAAAGGCTCTAATTTGGGACCAGAGAAAATCTCTCTTATATCCGGGTTTCTCTTATATCCGGGTCTCTTATATCCGGGTTACACTGTATTTTTTATAACAAAATTATTGCTATATTTTTGCTATAAAAAGTGTTTTATCCTTAAATCGTGATTTATTTTCATTCAGAAATTCACTAATTGCTCATAGCTGAGATCTTAAGAGGTGCTTCCAGTCCGGGGTCAGGATGGACCTTGGAACAACAGTAATCAAGAGGTGGTCCATGCTCCTCAAAACCTTCACCTCCCCATCAGAGACCATGCTGCTGGAAGTAGTTTATCGTCATACACTGGACGAACTGGCGTTGTGAAGTTCTAAAAAAATTAAGACCGTTTCATACTGTACTTAAAAAAAGAATTAGAATATTTTAAGTCCTTACTAATATTAGAAGTAATTCTAGGAGATGTCTATTCTCTTATAGTTCTAAACAGCGCCACCTAGCGGGTGCATTGGCAGACTAGGTGGAGGTAATCTCCGTTCGCCACAAACAAAAAAATAAAATAAAATATAAAACATAATGGCGAATAAAAATATTTAGTAAACGCATGATTTCAAATAACATTGGAGAAAACGAACGAATTTATCTGGCAACCAATAAATGGTAACTTTAGAAACAAATTTATTTTCTTAAAGGATTAAACAACAACATTAATAAGAGAATCTCTCTTTCCCTCTCTCTCTCTCTCTCTCTCTCTCTCACTTTGTCTAGTGATTGCAATAAGTAAATCCCTTTTCCTACACGAGCGATTAAAACTCCTTTTGAAATGAAAGCACTCTTGGAGAGGACTGAACACAGAGACCAAACTCTGTTCATTGACATGTATTCATAAAGTTTGTTGAAGATGATGGACAGGGTTGTGAGGAGGGCCATTGCCAACGAAAAAGGAATGTTTGTAATCTCATAGTTCCTTCTTAAGAACATGAACCGTAGAATCGCCACCTATCGGTATCGAATACCTTATGTTTTAACAAGTATCAGTCAGTTGATCTTTATCCATCCATTCGACCAACTATTTTAAACGCTTGTCTCCTTCACCCACCGTTTTCACATGTAATTCTTTCTTTCTTTCTTTCTTTCTTTCTTTATTTATTTATTTATTTATATATTTATTTGTTTATCTATTCTTTTCTTTCTTTCTAATTCTAGAAAAAAAGAAAAGAAGAAAAAATTCCTATAGAATCTACACCTAAATTAAAAAAAAATGTTAGTATGTTTTGATGGTAGAGTTGTAGTTTGTCTTTTATCCTCCTTTCCCATCCTCTCTCTTTCTCTGTCCCTCTCTCTTTCACAAATACTACACCGTCTCTCTCATCTATCTATCTATCTATCTATCTATCTATCTATCTATCTATCTATCTATCTATCTATCTCATTCTGTTAATATCTATCTATCTATCTATCTATCTATCTATCTATCTATCTATCTATCTATCTATCTCATTCTGTTAATATCTATCTATCTATCTATCTATCTATCTATCTATCTATCTATCTATCTATCTATCTATCTATCTATTTTGGTATTCGGCACTTCTCCACGCAGACCCACACCAAAAAAGCTTTAATAAACTTTTTTCTTTGATGACCACCCTCGTTGTTTGAAGTGTACTCTCTTTCTCTATCCCTTTATCTCTTACTATTCCACCCCATGCCACCCCGTTTCACCTTTCCTTCCCCGAAACTTATTCCCGCTTCCCCATCTACCTTAGAATTCAAACGTTTCTCTAAAGTGAGTCATTCCTATATAACCGATCCTCACCCGACCCTAAATGTAACCTCCCCCCCCCCTGCATTACAGTGTCGCTGGGTCAGTTTCATCTCGTTCATTTCAAAACAAACTCTCTCTCTCTCTCTTTCTCTCTCTCATTAAAACACACACACACACAGACACACACACACACACACACACACACACACACACACACACACACACACACACACACAGACACACAGACACACACACACAGACACACACACACACACACACACACACACAGACACACACACACACACACACACAGACACACACACACACACACTGTTCTCTATCTCTCTCTTTCAATTTCTATCGTTTCCCTCTGTTTAGAACTCTGTAAATTTTTATTCGGTACTTCTTTTCCTCTCTCTCTCTCTCCACTCTCTTTTTGTCTCTCTCTCTCTCCACTCTCTTTTTGTCTCTCTCTCTCTCCACTCTCTTTTTGTCTCTCTCTCTCTCTCTCCATTCCGTTTTTGTCTCTCTCTCTGTCTTCCGTATCCACCCTCTCTACTTTCTATATGTCAATCTATTTTTGTATTATCTTTCATTCTCCCTAATTCTTCCTCTCCTCTTCCCTTTTCACTCTCTACATCTCTATCTCTCCTTCTCTTTTCTTATCTTCCTCTGCCCCCATCTCTCCCCATTTATATCCATTCTCTCCCCAGTCTCCCTTTCTTTTTATTTTCTCACCCCACTCTCTCTCTCTCTCTATATATATATATATATATCTTTACTTTCTGTTTCTCCCTTTCTCTCTCTCATCCCTCCCTCACTATGTTACTGTCTAACTCTATCTGTCTCCATTTTTATCTTTCCCCACTCTCTTTCCCACTACTCTCTTTATTTCCCTCTCTTTCCTTCTCTCTTTTTCTCCTTCACACTCCCCTTTCTCTTCCACTCCACTCTTGATAAGATTTTCATCTTATTCTCTCCCCTTTCTTTACTCCCCTCTCTCTCGACTGCCTGCATCTCCGTGTCTCCTTTTATGTTTCTCTCACTCCCTCAAACTATATACACTCTGTATATTCATATCTCTTTTTCTCTACTCCTCCCCCTCCCCCTCTCTCTCTCCTCTTTATATTTCTATCTTTCATCCTCTTCTCTTTCTCTTACACTCTTTTCCAATGCATTTGCTGTTTTCTTCCGAGTTTTCTTTGTGTCTGTTTCTTTTCTCTCATTAACAATGGCAAAGAATAACAGACAAACTCCTTACAGAGGAAGAAGATACTCGAGGCAGAGAAAAAATGGTTCTGCAGGAGGCGGCTGAGGATACGATGAACCGAATATGTCAGGAACGACTAATCTTTAGAGAAACTTTTGTTTAGTTTGTAAATAGCTGATTTGACAGTTGTTAATACACAAACTAGTTAGATATTAATTACTTAATATCAGGAAGAGACGGTTGAAATTTCTTGGTTATTTAAAGAGGAAAGACAACTTGGAAAATCCGATACTCAGAGGGCATATTGAAGGCAAGAGAAGCAGAAGAAAACAATGCATAACATAATTAGTAAGCTTGAGTAAATGAATGTCGGAATAGGGTTTAGAAGAAATAACAAAAAGACAACATTTAATAAAAGCTACGAAGGAGAGGAAATAGTGGAGAGACATGATCGCCTAAGCCTGTAAAAGAAACAGTACATAAAGAAGATCTCTTAGGACAGATTGAAGACAAGGGTGACAGAGGAAAACAATCCATAACCTACTTAGTGAATTTGAGTAAATTGATTTCGGAATGGGGTTTAGGAGAAATAACAAAAAGACAATATTTATAAAAAGCTTCAAAGAATAGGAAATTGTGGAGAGCCATGATCGCCTATAGCCTGAATCGAAACGGTACATAAAGAAGAAGATCTCTTAGGACAGATTGAAGGCAAGTGGGAGAGATGAAATCAAACTATAACCTACTTAGTGAATTTGTGTATATGGACTTCGGAATGGGGTTTAGGCGAATAAGAAAAAGACAACATTTATAAAGAGCTACAAAGAATAGAAAATTGTGGAGAGCCATGATCGCCTATATCCTGAATCGAAACGGTACATAAAGAAGAAGATCTCTTAGGACAGATTGAAGGCAAGTGGGAGAGCGGAAATCAAACTATAACCTACTTAGTGAATTTGTGTTTATGGACTTCGGAATGGGGTTTCGGCGAAATAAGAAAAAGACAACATTTATAAAGAGCTACAAAGAATAGGAAATTGTGGAGAGCCATGATCGCCTATGACCTGAATGGAAACGGTACATAAAGAAGAAGATCTCTTAGGACAGATTGAAGGCAAGTGGGAGAGCGGAAATCAAACTATAACCTACTTAGTGAATTTGTGTTTATGGACTTCGGAATCGGTTTTAAGCGAAATAAGAAAAAGACAACATTTATAAAGAGCTACAAAGAATAGGAAATTGTGGAGAGCCATGATCGCCTATATCCTGAATCGAAACGGTACATAAAGAAGAAGATCTCTTAGGATAGATTGAAGGCAAGTGGGAGAGCGGAAATCAAACTATAACCTACTTAGTGAATTTGTGTTTATGGCCTTCGGAATGGGTTTCGGCGAAATAAAGAAAAAGACAACATTTATAAAGAGCTACAAAGAATAGGAAATTGTGGAAGAAAATATCCTGAATCAACATTTATAAAAGAGCCACAAAGAATTTGTTTTTAGGAAATTTTCGGCGAAATAAGGAAAGCCATAAAGAGCTACAAAGAATAGGAAATTGTGGATATCCTGAATCGAAACGGTACATAAAGAAGAAGATCTCTTAGGATAGATTGAAGGCAAGTGGGAGAGCGGAAATCAAACTATAACCTACTTAGTGAATTTGTGTTTATGGACTTCGGAATTGGTTTTAAGCGAAATAAGAGAAAGACAACATTTAAAAGAACTACAAAGAATAGGAAATTGTGGAGAGCCATGATCGCCTATGACCTGAATGGAAACGGTACATAAAGAAGAAGATCTCTTACGACAGATTGAAGGCAAGTGGGAGAGAGGAAATCAAACTATAACCTACTTAGTGAATTTGTGTTCATGGACTTCGGAATTGGTTTTAAGCGAAATAAGAGAAAGACAACATTTAAAAGAACAACAAAGAATAGGAAATTGTGGAGAGCCATGATCGCCTATGACCTGAATGGAAACGGTACATAAAGAAGAAGATCTCTTAGGACAGATTGAAGACAAGTGGGAGAGCGGAAATCAAACTATAACCTACTTAGTGAATTTGTGTTTATGGCCTTCGGAATGGGGTTTCGGCGAAATAAGAAAAAGACAACATTTATAAAGAGCTACAAAGAATAGGAAATTGTGGAGAGCCATGATCGCCTATGACCTGAATGGAAACGGTACATAAAGAAGATGGTTTCTTAGGGCAGATTGAAGGCAAGAGCGAGAGAGGAAAACAACACATCACCTACTTAGTGAATTTGAGAAAATTAATGTCGTAATAGGGTTTAGGTGATATAGCTAAAAGACAACATTTAGTAAGAGCTTTTTTTCCTTTTCTTTTTTATTCATTTCACTCCAATTAAGGCATGAAAGCCACTTGGACGCCAGAGTCTACCGGACGTAAGAGAATATGAAAATTACTATTAATGGAAAGGACAATAAAAGAATAAGTATTGGGAATAAAAAATATCGATATTGCGTTACAGAAGCGAGAAGTGCGAGAGGAGCAGCTATTAGCATAGAACTTACTGCTACACCTTTTGACATTTCAACTGTAAAATGATGAGACCTTGCCGCCAATATACAAATAGAATAGACATGAAATTTTGGAAAGATATAAATGACTAGTTCCTGAAGAGACAGGCCTCAAGAGGGACACCACCACCACCACTACCGCCACCACCACCACCACCATCGTAAACAATTTTAGTTAGCAGGAGATAAGTGTAAATAAATTAATTGACGAATTCAACGTAAACAGTTTTTTTATATGTTGTTTTAACTACTCAGTGATCTTAAAATTTTTTAAATATTTTAAGTATTCTATTATTTTATTGAATGTTAGCTACTTGGGCTTCATAACCTTATTTACGAAGACGCTTGTTGAGGAAATGTTGGAAAATTACTAATAATTTTGAAAATTTACTATATTACTATAAATTTAATATATTACCATAAATTTTAAAAATTCACTATAGTTACCCTTCGTCCTGCATGAACATCTGTATACAGAAAAATCGGCACGGTTATAGACATAAAAAATAAATTAAAAATTTATTTTACAATACTTTGGATTTTTTAATATGGTGAGCACTTCTATTCAGGATTAATTCATACATTCTCAATCTAATAACAATAATACTTGTCCTCTACAAATTAATACAGAATTAGTATCATAATTAAAATAAAAAAATGAAAACAATTCAGTATTCATCGAAAAAACTTTTTTTTCTTAAGGTAATGGGCGCAATTGGATTAAAAATTATACACGGTGTCCATAAAGTTCGTGTGCACTTTAAAAATTTTATAACTTTATTTGTATTTGCGATATAAATAATCTGTAAAAATGTTATAAAGTTTAATGTACCTAGTTTTAAGTATAGCTAAAATAACTAATGTGATTTCAGGCATTACTGTAAATCAGTTGGCAAATGTTTTCCGTGAACTGCAAAATCGTATTACCCCTTGTATTGCTAATGATGGAAGACATGTGGAAACTTAAATAAAATATCAATAAAACCTTAAAAAAATATAGATTTACTTCTTTCTAATCCTTTTTACAAATTATTTCTAATCGCAAATAGAAATAAAGTTATAAATTTTTTAATGTGAACATGAACTTTATGGACACCCTGTATATTCTTCATAAAAGCAATTAAGTGCTTTTCTAGTTAATTTCTTCTTCAGTTTTATTACATTATTTATTTTACAATCCCAAGCAGATTTTGTGCAACTGGAAACCTATTTGATCTAAAGATTTGAGGATTAAAACTCTCCGAGGACTTGACCTTATAACTAATATAATCATTACGTGACGCAAAAATGGATATTTTTCGAAATTTCTTGAAATTAAATAAGTGTGTGTGGGGTCGGGGGTAACAGATGTAAAAAATATTTTTAACAAGATTTTTTTTTTTAAACAGAAACGTTTAAAAATAATTTCACTCACTTTTGAATTAAATTCTAAAAAAAAAAAGTCATTAAATTCCGACATTTGTCTGATTGTTTTAACGTACAAAGAAGCTCGAATTTCCCGGGATCATAAATGGCAACTGGTCTAGGAGAAAGACAACTCTGAATTCAAACCCGGAGTGGAGCCCCTAAGGCGGATCGACGGCATTTTGTGCTACCTTCCGGCAACTCCTGCAGCCGCGCTGGTACCAAACTGTATTGGCTTATCCTCTTCTTTGGACTCTGTTAGCAAGGCCGAGAGGGGAAACTAGACTTCCGGGCAGCCCTAGTTTTCCATATATCCCGTGTTACTCCATAGTCTCTCGAGACGGACGGATTTCGACGACGATATCTATCTATCTATAAACATATCTATCTATCAATCTATCTATCTATCTATAAACATAAAAATGTCTTAAATAATTGTCGGACTTTGTCCATTTCATAATGTGTGTGTGTGTGTATGTATAAGTGGACATTGAAGTCAACACCCAGCGGCGACAGTCGGTTTCATGCTTAAATGCAATCTTCATGGCCATCGATTGCGTTTAAGCATGAAAGATATCGCCAACACTGGGTATTGACGTCAATGTCCACTTTTATATTTACATATACTCTATCCTTGATACTGAGCACTTTAATCCACAAATATAGTATACCTTAAAACTATAATCTATATTTTCATCATATATATATATATATATATATATATATATATATATATTTAAAGATATGTTTTGTTTGTACATAACTGCCATAAATAGACAAAAATTATTTTTATTACCACTCATGATAATAACAAAAAGTAAAACTGAAAAACGGGCTAGATAACCGGTTTCAAACCTCGCTCAACAGAGCTAAATCGAGGTTAAACTGAATTATCACTAAAAAAATCGACAAAGTGTATTGGAGAAAAAAAGTGTTCTGCGATGGAAGACCCATATGTATGGGTCAGAATGTCTGTAGGAGTGTACTTAAGATTTTGGACTTTCGTTGGAACGTGTTGCTTTATTCTAACAGCCAGCCTTTGAGTCGTTCTCCCTATGTAGTGTGAACCACAACTACATTTAAAAGAATAAATTAATGAACTATTATGATGTGGATGGAGAACGTCCTTATGCATAGACGGAAGGACGGGTTTGGCAGAGTTAAACGTTTTGAAGCACGTTCGATGTTGCATCTGCGAAATTCGAATGATTCATTTCTTGATCGAATAGTGACGAGAAATGGATCCTCTACGTCAATTGTAAACGACCGACTCAATGCCTTGATCATGACGAAAAACCCAAACCCTTACCAAAACCCAAATTGCACCAACAGAAGATTATGATGGCTGTCTGGTGGTCCGCCATTGATTTGGTTTGGTTTGTTTTGTTTTATGCATATCAACACCTCAATGGGTTATGTAATGCCGACAAGATTTTTATTGCTGGTAATATTACTTTTCTAAAATGTATTGTTGGTATTTTTTTACCAACATGTATTGCTGGTATTTTTTTTTTTACCAAAATATATTGCTTGTAATTTTTTTTTTCGAAAATATATTGCTGGTATTTTTTTTTACCAAAATATATTGCTGGTATATTTTTTTTCCAAAAATGTATTGTTGGTAATTTTTTTTTTTCAAAAATATATTGCTGGTAATTTTTTTCCCAAAAATATATTGCTGGTATTTTTTTTTTCAAAAATGTATTGCTGGCAATATTTTTTTTCAAAAATGTATTGCTGGTATTAAAAAATATTCTTATCCTTTCAGAGTGTTTTGACACATTTTGGGGGATTGACTATTTTCCCATAGCTGGAATCCTGACAAATGCTACCAACCAGGGTCAAGTTGGACCTGGAAACATCAGCAATTAAAAGGTGGTTCCACGCCCCATCAAAACCTTCTGATCAGGGGGCTTGCTGTCGGACGTAGTTTATCGTCATACCCAGGACGATCCGCTATTAGTGTTGTTATCCACTGCAGCATTTTTGGAATTTAACCAGAGCATGACTGCCGAAGTTTACTACCAGAAAACGGATGACATGCACATTCAGTTAGGCAACACTTACAACAAGCACTGGTTAATCGACGACTGTTTTATGACAATGTTCGACCACATGGTGCCATTGCAGAAAGCTTACCAACTTGGTGATTTAGAAAATTTGCAGCATCCACCATATTCCCATGATCACTCGTTCATTGGCAAACACTTTTTCAAGAACTTGGAAATTTTCTAAGCCAAAAGACATTCAGAAACATATATACATTTATAAATGAAGTAAAATTCTTAGAAAGTTATTCCTAGCATCGCTTGACAATGGAACAAAACTCTGGATTTTAAGTTTAATTTTTATAATAAAATTTACAATTTTACTTTCAGTTTTGATACATAGTAATTTCTGTGCCACTATGGAATCATATTTTTAAAATAGAAAATAATTATAATAAGCTCTATTGTTTGTATTGGGCAGTTTTTTTTTTAAAAATAAAAATAATTGCTGAGAACACCAGATTATAAATAAAGATGGATATGCAATGTAATTGGCCCTGATCTGGAATCTCGTCTGCAGCCGCTCTCTCACAGACGTGCCGTTGCCTCCTTCTGCCATTTTTACAGATACTTTCACAGTAACTGCTCCGATGATCTGATTTCGCTGGTTCTCAGACTTCATGAATTTAAGCGTTCAACTAGGCTGGCATCTCGATCTCACCCTTTCACTGTCGAAATTGTTAAATGTAGCCGTCTCTTCTACTCCATTAGCTTCATGTCTCACACTTCTCGCCTGTGGAACTCCCTCCCCATTTCTTGTTTTCCTGATAGCTATAAACTCCAACTATTCAAATGTAATGTCAATCGACGTCTCCAGATGCCCTCATCTATCCCCTAACCGTCTCTTCATCTTTTCCTCTATCACTCCTCTTTGTTCTAGCTCCAACTCTCTGTAACTCCTTGCGTGCTAGTGGCTTCCCGCTTTGCTTGGGGTTGAATGCTTTTTCAATGCTTAAAAACCCAGTAAAAATGGTTACATATGAAAAACAATGAGGAGTATTTAGCATAAATATAGAATAATATACAATTATTGTGTTTTTTTAGACAAAATAAATATAAGCCACACTTTCTTCTTCTTTTGACAGACGCCATAAAGATTTTGAAGGCACTTGGTTGCCCGTTCTGCAAACTGATTTGTTCTGGGAATTTCGAGTTTAGATAGTTTTGGATTCCAAAACTTTTTCACAGAGTTTAATGCTTTTTGTGAGCCTAAAAGCTTCTACATGGCTTGTGATAATCATCTGTGTTGTAGATTTGGTCATTAAACCAATGTTCCGTCCATCTTTGAGAGAAGAATGTACAAAGTTCGAGTTTCTTTTCTCTGGTAGAAGAATAATGGTCAAAAGAACAAGTATTGCTCAAGAATTCCATCTTGCATTACTTAAGCTAGATATTTTTGGAACTTCACGTCAGGGAACCTTCCAGTGTCTTCGAAAAGGCGGTCAGCACGGCTTGTTCGTAGTCTTTTACACCCTCTAGGATCGTGCGGGTCACATGCAGGTTGCGCTGAATTGTTCGGCCCTTCAGAGCACAAATCTGCTCGGTCTCAAAAGAATCTCGGCAACTAAGTTTGTCAGTTAATTTGGCCAAAATCTGTTTAGCAGAATTATGTGCCTATTTCCCGCCCACCATACTAGCCCTTTTTCCACAGCGTTATTCTACACCTGGAGATCCGGTTGTGGATGACCCCTACCGGAACCAGTTGTTGAAAGTTGACACAGAGATGTTGGACAGCCTCAAGTACAATTCGTAGGGTAGACCATCAATTTCCGGAAACTTGTCACTGTCGGCCATCTTCAATGCCAAGTAGACTTAGTCCTCTGTGATGTCACCCTCACAGCTAGCCACTTCCGGCAGCGAAAGATGAGGAAAGTCAGCCAAATAGCTGTGAAACTATTACTCATAAAGACCAATCTCCTTGGTAAAACAGCTCTCAAAATGCCGCCGAAACGCCTCTTACATATCATTAGTCGACCTCAGAATACGCCTCTGCGGTGTACTGACTCCTGAATGTATCGATCGGTACCTCGACGGATCTGTTACTTGCGCAATTCTGCATCCATATTCACGGCTTCGTTAGACATCTTGTTTAACCTATGCCTAACTACTTCACCCTTGTAGTGCTCGCTAGCCGCGCGCTCCAGAGCCGACCTATCTAAACCTATCTCTAGGGAATCTCCCCAGCCTTCGCTTGGGACAGACTATCCTAGAGTGCCTTCACTTTTTAAGCCTTAAAGTCGTTGCCTATATTCGTTGGTGCTAATGCTATCCTTAAGCCTCTCCCACCACCTATTCCCAATAACCGCTCCCATTAGTTCCCGCTGCACTAATCTAATTAACTATTGCCGGAAGTCTCGCCTGTCCAGTAAAGAGAGATTGAACTTCCAGTGTCCAGTGATTCTAGTCCTAACATCCGGGAACACATGTTTATCCTTCAAATAGACTAACCAGTGAATCTATATTGACCTTTCCCACTAACATTCGATCCATTTAGCTGGCTACCCGGGTAGACGGCCACTTAAAAGCTCACGTCTTCATCTTCAATCCGGTATCTATCGACAAGACTCTCCAATCAGATCAACCATGAATTCCAATATATATATATATATATATATATATATATATATATATATATATATGGGAAAAAATATAGTTTTAAGGTATGCTATATTTATGGGATAAAGTGTTCAATATCAGAGATAGAGCGTATGTAAATATGAATATAAAAGGGAACATTGAAGTTAAGACTCAGAGGCGACAGGCTGTTTCATGCTAGATGCAATCGTCAGGCCGCCTGATTTTTTTTCTAATATTTCAAAAACCGTCCAATCAATTCACACAAACTTTTCACACAATGTTGGCACCACTGACCTGCGCAATCACTGAAATTTTCGTGCTGATCTGCGCAATGTAAACAAACTGGTGCCATATTTGTTATCAGCACGATGATTTGAGCGTGCCAATTTATTAGAAAGGTTTAGTAAAATTCCCAGAATTGAGCAAACAAAACGTTTATTAATGTTGCATGTGAATGTTTATGATCAAAAGAAGCTAATAAATAAGATAATCAAACAAATAATAGCAGATACAAAAAAGGTACAGTTTTAAACAAATTAATAGGGGATGTGCTTTCCCTGTTTTGAAATTGCTTGAAGAAGTCGACGATTCATAGAATTTTGTTAATTGTAGGATGTCTTCTGCTGTAACGCCGCAAGATATGTCAAGAATTGCTTCCCACAACTCAGCGTCGCTCCTGAATTGTCGTCCGTTGGCGTACAGTCTTCGTTTCATGATGTTCCAAAGGTTTTCGATTGGGTTCAAATCTGGCCACTTCATTTTTCGATGTCCATCGAAGCCTAACTGTTTCAAATATTCA